TAGACCAGTTCAGTCTAAACAATATTGAATGTCCATGATTCCTTTTCTCTCAGGATGTTGGTAAATTCCTCTGATAATTCCTCTGAGACTGGGCCCACACGGGTGAGTTCTTCCCAGTCGTCCAATGAGGTGAATGAAACAGAAATAGTTTTGACTACCATTACGTCAGGAGCCAGTAAGAAACTTGAAGAAGACGTTTAGCGACACAGCATCAAGAGACTTTATAAATTTCCTCAGAAAAGCCAATGACTGCTTCTCTGCATCAGTGGTAGGGTTGGCATATAAAGCTTTCATAACTTTCTTAGCAGTTGGTTTACTATCTAAGAAAAGTTTCCTTATGCTCTCCATGTTTTCAAAGCAGTTTTTCCCTTGAGGACTCCTAGCACTGTGTCCCAACAGGCGGTGACGTACCTAGGTCTCTGAATGATTTCCTGGTGGGTTAACTCTGTAAGAATATCTACTCACTTCAATTTTTCAATTTGGTGTTTTGCAGAGATAATTACTTCAGCTTGACTCTTCTGTTGTTCCGTGTTGGGAACCAAACGTTACGAGCGTATTTCAAGACACAGTGGCCAATAGTTTACCAGCGTGTTAAAACGGGTACAGTACCACCCCTTTGGCAAGACACACCAAATGATGCAGTAGAAATGAAAAAAATTACCACCAACCAAACCGAATTTAAAAATCAAAGATGAAAAAACCATGTTTAATTCAGGAAACACAATCGACTGGGACTTCTCACCTCTTACCTCTGTGCTGAAAGATTCGTCTATGGAATTTGTGCTACCTTCCAGTTCTGAAAGTATAGCGTTAGAGGATCTTAAAGCAATCCGTAAGAAACTATAATACCACATGCTAATGATGCAGCAATACCTAATAGAGTATTTAATACAGCGTGGACAGACGCCTGCAAGGCACTAGTACTGTTCAGTGCATCTGCTGCTGACTTCAAGTGTGTACAAGATGGTATGTAGTCATCAGTTTTGCAGTAGTAATCGACAGAATAGAGCAATTACAGTAAACAGTAGAAAAGCAGCATGAGAGACAATTAGAAGAAGTAAGAAACGTTGCAAGAAAAGGTAAGAATATTTTATCTACTTTACTATTGGCCACGAAGTTATACTACAGCAAAAAGACGAAGACAGCACCACCTAATGACGTCTGCTGCCGTTTATACGGAGAAGCACAAGAGAGCGTGGCGCACGTCTTAGCTAATTGTTCAGCGTTGGCGCAGAACAAATATTTGTCAAGGCACAACAACGCCCTCAAAGTATTATACTTTGAGCTTGTATTTCTGGAATTGATAGATTCAGTACCACCATGCATGGTACTCACCAAACAAACCCAAGCCTGAATACAAGTCGACGAGGTAGAAGCACTATGGGATATTCCAACGCACGGAGGAAACCAAGAGATGAAAGCAAACAGAATCGACGCCAAGATCATCAACCATAACACCAAAGAGGTAATCCTTCTTGAGATGAGCTGCCCGTGGATTTACAATAGGGAGAAGAAAGAGGAAGAGAAAACTACCAAATATGGTCCTTTAAGATGGGAATTAAAAGAGAGGTTTCCAGAATACAAAGTCATCCAGTATGACATAATTATAGATGCCCTTGGAGCATGGTCAACGAGCATGGAAGATAACCTACGGAAATTGTTTGGAAAGAAAACAAAGGAGATTTCGCGACGAATGCAGTTATCAGTAATATCAAGCACGCTTCATATTGCAACGACATTTAAGGTTATCGCATAAATATATTTATTGGGACTAATAGATAAACACCATAATGTATTAATATATTAGAGACATATTGAATGTATTTATTTACTGTTTTTTTTAGTTACAAATTATCGTTAACTTCTTGAGCAGAATTTTTTCATTTATTTATTTATATTTTATTTATTTATTGTAATTACTAATCAGAAACTCATTTTATACATGTACATATATATTTCAATTTGATGAAAATTGTAAATAGCCCATGAATCCTATAGGCTACGTTTTCGCGCCCTATAGTACATTTATAGATATGCATACGTCAGTTTCAATAATCTGCACATAATAATAATGATATTTTATATAGCTTCAATATCCTGTAGAGTTCAACAACGCTTTACATTACAAGTTTTAGCATAAAAAGTTAAATAACAAAATAACATTTAAATATTTTCAACAATTCATTCATTTCAGTTTCAATTTTCATTCAATATCAACATTAACATAATTATATATGCAAATAAAGATTATAAAAACTATGTACATAAAATTATATATCAAGGGTAAGCCTTCTTAAAAAGGAAATCTTGAGCTCAAAATATCTCTGCATGACCTCATATGTGCAGGAAGGGAATTCCATTAGTTCTGGCGCAGCATTTGAGAATGCTCTTTTATACCACAGGATTTAAGTTTGAAAGAACCTTTGGTTAAAAGATTGGATGATTGTCATCTCAGTTGACAACTGGAACACTGGTTTTACTAGTTCACTAAGATAAGAGGGAGCACAGCCATTCATAGCCTTGAAAGTTAGTAAAAGTAGTCAATCTTGTATCTTGTAGTCAATTCGTTGTTTAACAGGCAGCCAGTGTAAGTGATAGAGAATGGGTGATACATGGCCGTATTTGTGACCGCAGGATACTAAACGTGTTGCTACATTTTGAATCCCCCTGAAGTTGAGGTGGCTGACTACTTTGGTAAATAACAAACAGAAAATTGAAAATTGAAACTTTTTTAACCTACAATTTTCGAAAATGCAAAGAAAAATGGGGTGTCCCGAGCCTGTTTTTGAGATAACTTTTTTTGTTATTTTCCGGAATAACAGTTGATATCCCATTATTTTTCAAAGTTTAAAACAATTCTGTTTATTTGAACAATGTAAAAATTCGTTCTGTTAGTTTTGTGCTCAATTTTTACGATAACTTGCACAACGTAGAACCTGAACAAAAAAATCGTTTTTCGTTGTCGGGACGATGATCAGTCGATAGTACAGCAATCTCTGTTTAGTCAGTGTTGATAGGTGACGTGTATATCAGAAACAAAATGGATCCAAAATAGAGCCTTGTGGCATACCACAATGCACAGAGAACAGGATGAAACATCACCCTGAACAGCAACACGAAAGCTCCTATCAGCCAAGTAAGATTCAAACCATTTTAAGGCTATGCCACTCACACCAATCCTTGAAGACATCCTTTCTATCAAAATCTTATGATAAACCGTGTCAAACACTGCTTGAAAGATCAAGCAACACTATACAACACAACGTTGACCAATAATTGCTTTCAAAATATCATTCTGCACCCTTAACAGAGCAGTCTCTACACTGTGATACATCTTATACCCAGGTTGAAAATGCTCATGCAAGTTTTTTTTATCAGTCCTCCACAGGCAGTCATGGTGAACGGACGGCAGTTTTTGAGCTCTGCCTTCTTCACATTATTACTAGCGTTTACTGCCTATTTTCTTTTACCGAAATTTACTGGCAATTTCCTAAATACTTATTCTTTACATGTATGCGCTGGAATGGATAAAAAAATTTTTCCTGGGCGAAATTCAGGCTGGCCTCGTCGTTCTCACAAAATTGGTGTGCCGCCATCTTTAAAGTTGAAGGCTGCTTTACGACTGGTAAATGCCTTTCTTTTAAGCTCTTGCATAATTCTATTGGCTGGAGATGTCAGTATCAATCCTGGACCTGATAATTCCTTTTCATCCTGCTCTTTGAACACGTCATTTTCGTCAAGTTTCTGTTCTACATCGTTGGATTCGTCTTCTATCTTGAACGAGTCTATTCGGCATTCTTCTTCTGGAGATGACGATGATATCCATCCCCTTATCGACCTTGGCTTGGACGACAAAGGACTACGAATTGGCCACTGGAATGTAAATCGCTTATCGTTGCCAAAGCTGGATGAGATCAAATTATTACTTATTGGAAAGAATAATGTTCCACAGCTCGATTCGTCATTCCCCAATGAAACCTTCTTAAGAACAGATATTCCAGAGTCAATTTATTCTGTTCCTGGTTTCAACATATTTCGGCGGGATAGGCGTTCTGAGGCTGGTGGTGGAGTTTTAGCCTTCGTAGATGAAAATTTGAAAGTTAAACGCAGAACTGATCTCGAATCTGCTGATTTAGAGATTATTTGGCTGGAGGTCTTCCCTTTCAAGTCAAAGAGGTCTTTACTCCTTTCAAGCATTTATCGGCCACCATCTTATTGCAAAAATGATGATCAGAAATTGGAGGCTAATATTGAAAACGCTTATCTATCAAATAAAGAGACAATATTATTGGGAGACTTTAATATTGATTTTCAAAATGTTTCACGTTAAACAAACATCACCTTTCTAAGGTTCTGAGGAGCATGAATTTTAAACAGTTGGTTAAGGACATTACGCGTCCAATTAGCGGTACTTGTTTAGATCATATCTTTTCAAACCACCCCGAGCGTGTTATGGATGTTCGCACGATTGAGGTAGGATTATCAGACCACCTGCCTTTGGTAATGGTTCGTAAATATTCTTGCTCTGATCCTCAACGTTGTAAAGACACTAAGTTTATCAAATATCGCAACATGAAGAATTTTAATGCCGACAACTTCATAGAAACCTTGAAAGAAGTCCCATGGGATACAGTATATCTGTTTGATGATATCGACGATATATTAGAATCATGGGAATCTTTGTTTAACAGTGCGCTCGACTCTCATTGTCCATGGCGTGACAAACGCGTCAAGAATCTCAAACAGGTTCCTTGGATCACCAAACCAGTGTTACAACAACTGCACCTCAGAGACAATCGTCTTAAAGCCGCTAGAATTTCTGGAATGTCTGAAGATTGGGAAAAGTACAAAGTTGAGAGAAACAAAGCAGTGCATATGATGCGTTCCGCTAAGCGTTCGTATTTTAACAATGCATTTGATGAACAAAAGAATAATCCAAAGGCGATGTGGAATACAATCAAGTCCTTGACTGGATCTTCCAAGGGGAAGAAAGCCATCAACAGTATAAAAGACGGTGTTTGCTCTATTGATGATAATAAACAAAAGGCTAGTTTATTCAACAAGTATTTTGCCTCTGTAGCTGATTGTATAAGATCTACTATGCCCATCACCGCCTTCAATATAGACAGACTGATTAATTTTGTCAAGTCTAGAAAAGACCCAAGTACAACTTTTACTATCCCTTCTATTACAAAGCCTCAAGTCATCGCTAGTCTCCTACAAATCAGTCCTAATAAAGCAGTTGGCATAGATAAAATAAGTACTCGTCTATTGAGGATTGCGGCCCCTGCGATCGCCTCTTCACTGACGCAAATCATAAACTTCTCATTTGAATCTGGTGTGTTCCCCAAGCGTTGGAAATTGGCAAAAATAACACCTCTCTTCAAAGCTGATGATGAAGACGACGTTTCAAACTACCGCCCAATATCAGTGCTTCCAGTCTTATCCAAAGTAATTGAGAGGCATACCCATGACTCTGTGTATAAGTATCTTTCAGATAATGATCTTCTTTATCAGAGACAGTCAGGCTTCAGGAAGCGACACAGCACAGAAACAGCGTTAATCCAGATTATTGACGGCCTCTTATTCAACCTAGACAACAATCGTGTCAATGGCCTCGTTCTGGTAGACTATCGCAAAGCCTTAGACATGGTCGATCACGAGATCTTGTTTGAAAAGCTCAAGGCCTATGGAGTGGTTGATTCCTCACTGTCTTGGTTCCATTCATATCTACTTGACAGGCATCAACTTGTTACTATTGATGGCACAAATTCTGATTATGCTCACATCAAGCATGGGGTGCCTTAGGGGAGTATCATTGGACCTCTCTTGTTCATTGTCTTCATAAATGACT